AAAACAGTGTGGGGAGTGAAAACACAGAGCACAAAGGTCTGCAGTGCCTTGTTCCTAGAAATAGCTCCTCTGGGCCCTTGCTGTCCGCTGCATGCCGCAGCTGGGTAAGAGCACAGCTGGCCAGATGTTGCAAGGCCAGGTGCAGATGTGCCTGTGTACATGTTTCACAGCAGGAAGGCTGCAGCAGGACAGCAGGTCCCTGTGCTAATGGAGAGGGCAGCATGCCCCTCAGTACTGCTCCTCCTGCCCTGTCCCACACCATGGGCACAGGGCTTGGGAGTGGAGTCACCCTGGTGCCCTGCACTGTCCAAAGGCAGCTGTACAGTGTCCACAATGCTTCTAGAACTGCAGTTCTGGCTGCCATGTGAATAGAGCATGTCATGCCCAACAACTGGTGAGGGGCAGGCTGGCAGTCCTTTCCACTGATGGGTCTCTGGCTGTACATCTGCATAAAACCATGCAGGATCACCCAGCCTGGCTTGTAGCATGGAAAAGCCTTCAACCAGCTGATGACAGCATTTAAGAGAGCCAGAGCTCTCTGTGTCAAGTTAAACAACTTAGTGTAAAACTGTGAGTTGAAGAGAATCACCAAGAGAAGAATCTGAGATTCATCAGATAGATACACCTATAAAAGCTGCCAGCAATACACCCAAATGCTAGAACAAGACCACCACAATCATTACACTGCTCAGTATGAACCTTGCCATGGTGTTAGCTCAGGCCAGCTAGCAGTTTCTGCAATTAACAGCCCAGCACAGCTCTGTATCAGCCCACTCCTGTTTGCAGGTGGCCCTGCACCTTGCAGTGTTTTGTGCAATGTAAACCCAGCTGTGCAGTGCCCCAACCCCTCTGTGCCCCAAAGCATCTCATGCAGTATATACAGAGCCTTGGGTGACATGGTCTAGTGTGAGGCATTCCTGCACAAGGCAAGGGGGGCTGGAACTAGGTAATCTTAACCTCCTTTCTAACCCAAACCATTCTGTTACATACACAGGTAAGTGTAGCCTGGAAGCCAGCATGAGCACCCTCAGCCTGCACTGCTGGGTTCTGTGGGAGCAGCTTTGCACCAGAAGGCTTTCTCCTATTCCTGGGTTGCACTGAGCTGTGTGTGATATGTTAAGAGGTCTGTCTCCTTGGACAGCCCTCTGGTTCCCAAGCAGACAGAGGAACTGCGTGTTCCTGCAGCAAGCTCCCTGCAGTTAATGCCTGATGGGGTGGAGTGGCTTCACACCTCCCATAGTGCTGCAAATCCATTGCTGCACTCCATTGACATTTAGGGGGTAAAATCCATGCATATATGGAGACAGCTTTATTATTTAATTAGGTAAATACAGGAAATGCATTGAGGCCTCCAGCTTTCTGCTGGTCAACCCCCCCAGTCTCACCTGAGCTGAAAGGGTAAGAGGCTGCTAAATTCTCCATGGAGTTATTTCCTCATCCCTCCCCTCAGCTTTAGAGCAGACTAGAAAGCCCAATACACCCTCCAGGTTCATCTGCAAGACCCCACCACCAACAATGCAAGATTAACCTCTATATTTTGACCAGTGTCTCACTGGGGTTTTGATCTGCAAAATAAATGATTGGGCTTGGGGCATTTCTTAAGCGCTGACGCCAACTCACCACACTGCCATGTGCTGTGCCACTGAAGGGAGTGACATTCCTCGTGGATATTCACTGTCCATTTATACATAAGCAACTATTCTTCCCTCTCCCCCCCAAAGGCAGATTCATGTGAGTTTCTGTCTCAACAGGAAGGCGTCAAGCCTCTATTCTGGAATACCTCCATTTAAAAAATAGTCTCATATTTGTTCAGTTCAAGATTAATGTTTTATCAGCAAAAGTGCTGTTCAGTGTTACTGCTACTATTCATACATACTTGTTTTGGTAAGACCCATCTCCTGAATTCTTAGGGGTTTACAAGCTGCTACAAAATGATGCTCAAAACACTTAAAGGAAATAGCATGTGGCTTATTTAAATTTTTCCAACTGCTTTGCTAACCTTAGTGAAGACCTATCTAGTGTATTTCCTTATTTCCTTATCCTTAAAATGTATTTCCTTATAAATCCGTATGCAATTTTTTCCTGATTCCTTCCCATTATAACTTCGAAAAAGAGGTTTAGAACTCAGTTCCTGTTGGACAATTCTGTACTCAACAGTCTTCACAGATCCAAATGGCTGTGTGGCTGGGCCTCAGCATGTGGAAGCCAAAGAGACACAAGAACTTCTCAACATATTGGGAGGAAAGAGGTTAACACTAGCATTAGCACCACTAATCTTTTCTTGCATAAAGACGGTTAGGACCAGGAGCCAAAGGCATTATTTTGTCTTCCAGTATCTTGGCAGACTGACAGGACCCAAGGTCTGTGGGCAGTCATTTTCAGGCAGAACAAAAGAGAAGCCTTCTGAAGACTGGGGGTCAGTTTTTACTCTGAAAAGCACAAATCAAAATAGTGGGAGGAAAAGTCAACTTTGAAGCCTCTGGATCTGGGTTGACCAGAGCCCCAGATGTCAGAGCAGCCAGGCAGCACCTCCTACAGCTGACTGAACCTGGGTGGAAAATGCTGGTTGCAGTTCTCACCTCCAGGAACTGCTCTTAGTTTAGACAAGTACATGTACCATTTTATAAGAAAAGAGGTGGGCAAAATCTGGATTATGACAAGTCACACACCAGTTAATTTCTGGTATTTTTGTGGTGTTCTAACTACTTAGGATATTATTTCCATGACCACTGTTAGTAGATCACAGGACAGATTTTTAAAGTACTATTTTAAGATGTAATAGAGTACATCTGTAGGCAATTACATAAAAATACAAATGTTAAGCCACAGTAATGTCCTTGAACACAATACAAGGAACTCTGATACTCTAAAATAAACCATACTAAGAAAGTGATGTGTTCTGGTTTATTTTTATCCTGTCACTCAGCGATTATGTAAATCATTCTTACCACTCAGTAGTCTGGGATAATATAACTCCCAATTGAGACTATAACACGTTTTCTTTACTGAAGAAACCAACACAATAAGCCAAAATTCAAAACATAAAAGACAGTAATTAAGAATAATTTAGAATATTACTATGTATCCTTATTAGTCCTGTAGTCCAAAGATTAGTGATTGTTTTTCAAATGTAAAATTTATTGCAATAAATGGATGATCTGCATGGAAGACAATAAAAGTGAACTGCTGACACTGTGTACTCTCAAAGTATACTCTTGCTGACACAAGCAAGAGACAAAAAATGGTCAACAAAAGCATCTGAACTTAAATAAACCCAAAGAACTTGGATTCTATTGGACTGTGGAGCAATCAACTTGGTAACATATGAACATACTGTTTTCACATGTGCAAAGTAGGACCTCATCTTCTGGCAAAACCAAAATTTGACTACAGTCTACGGCTGTAGAAACCACCCACAGATCATGGAGCTCTTAGATGCCTTCACATGGTAGCAAGGCAGGAGGACTTCAGTCTCCCGCAGTGTGATCTGCAGTCTCTGCATATGGTTTGACACCCATCTAGTTCAGCAGACATCCTGCTTTGAGCAGGTTGTTTGCAACAACAACATGAATGTGAGCCAGCTTCAGTGTGTGCTCGCAGCCCAGAAAGCCAACTGTATCCTGGGCTGCATCAAAAGGAGCGTGACCAGCAGCAGGTTGAAGGAGGTGATCCTGCCCCTCTACTCTGCTCTTGTGAGACCTCACCTGGTAGTATTGTGTGCAGTTCTGGTGTCCTCAACATAAAAAGGACACGGAACTGTTGGAACAAGTCCAGAGGAGTCCATGAGGATGATCAGGGGACTGGAGCACCTCCCATATGAAGACAGGCTGAGAAAGTTGGGGCTGTTCAGCCTGGAAGAGAGAAGCTGCATGGAGACCTCAGAGCAGCCTTCCAATATCTGAAGGGGGCCTATAGGGATGCTGGGGATGGACTGTTTGGTAGGGACTGTAGTGACAGGACAAGGTGTAAAGGGTTAAAACTTAAACAGGGGAAGTTTAGATTGGATATAAGGAAGAAGTTCTTTACTGTAAGAGTGGTGAGGAACTGGAATGGGTTTCCCAGGGAAGTTGTGAATGCTCCATCCCTGGCAGTGTTCAAGGCCAGGTTGGACAGAGCCTTGGGTGGCATGGTTTAGTGTGAGGTGTCCTGCCCTTGGCAAGGGGGTTGGAACTAGACGATCTTAAGGTCCTTTCCAACCTAACTATTCTATGATTCTATGACTCTAACAGAGAGGTGTGAAAGGAGAAGCACAGCTTTTGACCCAGTACAGCCTACCTCACCGCTTTGCAAAGCTGGCCACTGCAGAAAACCCTCCAGAAACTGTATTCCCTTTTCAGTGAGTATGAGAATAGGTCCATTTATAGCAGCGACACAAATACACCACTCCATGGAACACAGGCAGACATTCCTTTACTGCAGTTTAGGAGTCCCTCCTGTTGCTGAAAAAGTCTACTGAGAAAGTAAACTAATTTCACAAATAATTTCAAATATGAAACTTTTCTCTCTCCTTATGATTCTTAACAGAATTACTAGAGAGCAGCAGTGCAGGAACTGGGACATGTACATACAGAAACATTTCAGCAGCAGCATTCTTGTGGATGTGTAATGAATTACTAGACACAAAACAACAGTACTGCCAGAACAGCTATGAGTAAGTAAATCCTGGCTTCTAACTTAGTTTACAAGCTCAACATCAGTACTGCAGGCAAAAGGGTAAATTGGTATCAGATGAAATTACACAGAATTGAGTTATATTAAGAATTAATTAAGATGAGGAGTCTAGTGTCTTTACCAGCAAAACATGTCAGCATTTGCCTGAAAGAAACCTCCTGCTGCTGTTAAGAAATCAGTTTGAAAACGTCATCCTCTTTCAAGATGGATTTGGTTTTAAGTCACTGAAAGTTAACTGGCTAAGATACAGAAAGCATTCAGATTTTCCCCTATGAAATTACTTAGAACAAGCCAAAAACAAGAAAGAAAAACCAAAACACAAATAAAAATTCTTGCAGAACACTGTAAAAAGCAGCAATTTATTACATAAACACCACTTCAACATCTGTGCGAGAATCAGTGGCTAGAGACAACCAGCTCTCCTATTTGCTTTTTCAAACTCAGTTTTTTGAGTCAAGGCTAAGAAATGTTTGTGAGGTAATAAAAAAGAAGAGCTAAAAAACTTACAATATCAAGTCTATTAATCTTTACAGCTTTCACTCAGCTTTATAGAAAAATACACTGTTTTATATATCCATAAATATAATACAGACACCAAAACCACACACCTACATCTCTTCAGTAATACTCTCATCAGGGCAACAATAGTATTCTACAAAACAGATCTGTCCATCTTCATTCCTAATCATATACTGCAGTGAAAGAAATCCTTGAGTATCTGTTCTAATGGACACCTTACACGATAAAGCCAGTGCCTTTGTAGATGGTTTAAGCAAAGAAATCTTGTACCTGCAGCAAAAAAAAAACCAAGTCATATGAAGAAAATAAGCTATTCAGGAAGGAGCTGAAACATTACTCCCAGTTAATTACTGAAATTAACTCCCAGTTAAAGCCATAGGAAAACTAGAATAATAGAAATTAACCAGAATCATAAAAAAAAACGATTAGCAACATGCTAATTTGATCTTTTTCTGGTAATGACATTGGACAGACAGTGCTATTCCTTAGCTTTTGTTCACAAGCACAGGCTTTTATCAGATGGGAAGTATTTCCCTCCTTGCCTGGACTAGTGAATTAAATACAGTAACACAAAAAAGGGTTTTTGCAAACTTTCCAGCAAGAAAAGTTTAAAACTGGGACATGTGCATTTAGAAAAGTACAATAAACAAGAAAAGTTTAGAACATATGATATTCCACAGAGGGCACTGATCACAGACTTCCTAACCTGTTTGTCTGGGTCTCGTTACAGTGGAATACTTCTATCAAATCAGAGTCCTTAGAGTAGTCCAGATGTGCACTGCCAGCATTTCCAAAAGTGGATAACCTGGAAGACAAAAGGCACCATCTCAAAATACCTGACCTCAGTTCTCTAAAAAACTCATTAGAATCAGTCCTCTCGACTACCTCAATGGCTGTTTCACAGAACACTACCGGTTGTTTTGGTTTATTTAATTAAAAACACTGTTCGCAACGGTGTCACATTTACCAGGTTGTCAATGTGTTCATTACTATGTTAGTTTGATTATATATTACTCATGACAATTCTTCTTAAAATAAAGCAGTATTCTAAAAAGCTCCCTCCCTCTCCACCCTGAAAACTTTCAGTCTTTACCAACAGAGGCCAAGTATGAATATTTGAGTTGAAAGCACAGTTTCCAGTACCTGAAGTAGGGTTTATCTGGAGACATGGTAATCTGCATAACTTCACTGGTCATATCCAGTTCAGCAAATGCTTTTCGTAACCCTTCTGACTGCAGGATAATTTTATTAACAACTTTTGTACTGCAGAAATTGAAGTCTAACAAGTCCTCAGGTTCTTGAGTGTTTATTTTGCACACTGTCACTACACCTCCTTCTTCCAAGAACAGCATCAAGGGGTAACCATAACCACGGTAACACATCTTAAGGGCTGTTGATGTTCCTGAAAAAGATAATGAAATTTACATTCTTCAGAGAGCTAGCTAGCACATCTGATCACTTTAGAAAGTTCACATTTTACTGCTATGCAGGGCACAGATCAATTTGATTCAGCATGTTTGGTCCAGCTTCCAATAGACCAACGTAGCATGCTTAATGCAACCTCCTAAGGACCATATGAAGTGCAAAACGAATTCATCTTTCTGTAGATGCCAGTTCAAATCCTGCTTGTGTCATGTGCCAAACAGGTCACACTAGCTGTGACAATGAAGCTGGATATGCTACAAATACATAAGTGGCACTAGAAAATCCTCCATGGTCCTGAGGCTTTCTCTGGCTCATACCATCTTTATTTACTACTCTTGTTACTTGCACAACTCAAACTGAAGTTAAGACAATTTAGCCCGCATTACATTTTGCTGGGTAATCATAATCTGAACATTTGCTTTCCCAAAATCAGGGTGCTGTTTAGTATAGTTGACTTAGGCCTTTAGGTCAGAGTCACAACAGAAACAGCAGAGGAATGCAAAGTTCAACACACAGCTGCAATGTTAGAACTACCCAAAAAACCTGTCATGGTATCACTCTACTACATGCGAGTACACAGTGCTTCCTTACAGTCATGCTTGTATGTAGTTATTTTGTTTGTGAAAATAATTTTTTAAAACCACCAGGAAGAAGTCATTTACAGGAAATAAAATTCACCAAGATCTGGATTTAGGTTTTTTTGTTCTCTTTAAACAGATCAGTTCACGTAATTCAACATTTGTACACATAATCGTGAAGGCAGCTTCCCATGCACCTCTGTCACTGAAAAGACTACAAACAGGATCAATAATGGAGTCTTCCTCATTTTCGTGATTCACACACTTGATAAAGAAAATCTGAAGTGTGTGTACAGCACCTGAAACACTACCCAATCCAGCTGCAGATTTGTGAGACTGTAGGTGAGTATAATTCCTCAGTACCTTATCTGCAAGCTGGAGATAATATTCACAAAATAGACGCAGGTGCGGCCTGAAGGGGGGAAGGAACAGAAGGTGCAACATAACAGCTATTCCACTGGGAGCAATAGCACAGTGAACCGATAGTGCTGCCTGGAACCCATGCAGACTTCAAGCCCAGAACACATCCTAATTCCTTGTTAATATGCTTGTTAGTATTTCTGAGATAGCTGGATGTTCCAGGTCTGTTCCAGAAATACTGGAGATCACATTTGTTATCAAGCAGATACAATTTTTTTTGTTACCAAGACAAACTCCAAGCTATGTGTATACTGTCTTCCAGTGTGCTGATTTCTGCTGCAGCTCACAGCATTTAGTCAGCCTGAGTCCCCCGTGAGGCTAATGCGGATCCCCTGTGGCCTTAAGATGTACTGACAGCTTTCCTGCTTTTTCATCTGACAGTGACAGCTCTGGTAAGAGGCTCACCCCTTGCCCAAGCAGTAGTTTTAGCCTGAGGCTGAGGGTATGCGTAGCCTGCCCTGCTGACCACTTAGAAGCATGTGACAGTGTGAAGCACAGTCCTTTACTAAAGGAAAACTGGTGCTCTCTGCATGCATACTAACTACCCTGGATGGGCTGCAGAGGAGCTATTCTGCCAGCTGTGCCCACACTCTTCCTTTAAGTGAAGGGCACATGGACACATTTGCATTTATGTTATGCGGATGATCTGGGCCCCAGACTGAAAACAGATCAACAGGAAAGGCAGTTGCAGCATGGGTCAGTCCTAGGGCACAGTATTGGCCTCAGAATAATAACTCCAGCCTAAACATCACCCAACTTGCCAGAGATATCTAAACAAATTACTTGACAGGTTTCCTTATCGAGAGAAACTATTTGGACCTTCAGTCCCAAACAGAGCTAGGATACAAACTGTGGCAGTGCACTGGACTTCATGCCTCAAAAGGGTTCTCTCCCAAAACAAGCAGTTCTTTTGTGCCTTACACAGATCCAGGAAACATTATCTTCACAGGAAGAATCCCCTGTTTCTCAGCTACCCCAACAGCATCACAGAGACACATCACAGTGCACGCTTGTTTTAGCTTAAGGATCCTGCTTAGCAGCAATAGCTGCCATACTCAGAAGGACTGAAGCTGAGGTCAGACTTTTTTGCAAAGGCTGGAAATCTCTCTATGCCTATGTACAGGTTTCACTACATGATTACATGTGATGCACACGCTTACACTGTCAAGGTAAATATGAGCCATACCTGGCAAAGAACTGGTATCAAAAATAGTCAGGCAGTCAAGAAGAACAGACAAATTGATCCGGAATGTCACCGTTTGCTCTTGGACAGCAAATTCCTGAAAAATCTCTGCCTGTAAGAGATGAAAGGAGGGAAGTTTCTGTAATTATTTTACCATTTACACTTATTTCCTTAAATTCAGTGCTTTCACTTTCAGAGATCAGTGCAATACAAAACAATTCCTACAAAGTAACACAACCATCATTTAAAGAAAAGTAGGTCTTCAACCTCAAAACTAGTAAAATAAAATCAGGACACAGCTGAAAAAAAGTAGCTTGGCATAAGCATGAAAACCTAAACACTTCCCTTTCACAGTTCAAAAACAAACTACAAATGTTAAAGCCTAAAGCTGCCTACTTCTGGAACTGAAACATTCAGGCAAATATATCATATGTAACACTTGTTTGACTTTTCTTCACTCCGAGCATGAACAAACATTCAAATAATAAAGGAAGAACGGAACACAATAGCGAGTTCACAGCATTGAAACGTGTGGAATGTGCCTTGGACTAGCCTGATAGGGGTAAACTCCTCTAAGCTACCCCATTTGCTACTGGATGCTAGCTGCTTTGTGGTAAGTGAAAGAACACAGTATCTCGGAAGCAAAGCAGGGTGATGTGAGCTACTTTGCAACAAGCTTTTACATATTTTTACCGGCAGCCAAAAGAGACAGCAAACCCCATCCTAGGGTGCATCAGCCACAGCATCACCAGCTGGTCAGCAGGGGTGATTCTCCCACTGTATTCAGAGTTGGTGCAGCCTCACCTGGAGCACTGTGGGCAGTGCTAGGACCCACCATTAAAAAGGATGTGAAGGTCCTGAATGTGTCCAGAGGAGGCAACAGAGGTGGTGACGGGGCTGGAAGGAAATGTCCTGTGAGGAGTGGCTGAGGGCTCTGGGCTTGTCTAGTTTGGAGAGAAGGAGGCCGAGGGGGGACCTCCTTGATCTCCTACAGCTTCCTGAAGAGGGGAAGAGGCAGGTGCTGAGCTCTGCTCCCTGGTACCCAGTGACAGGACAGATGGGAATGGTTCAAAGCTGCACAGGGAGACATTCAGACTGGACATCAGGAAGCATTTTTTTTTTACCAAGAGGGATGTCAAACACTGCAACAGGTTTCCTGGAGAAATGGACAATGCCCCAAGCCTGTCAGTGTTTAAGAGGCATTTGGACAATGCCCTTAACAACAGGCTTTAATGTTTGGTCAGCCCAAAAGTGATCCGTGCTAGTGACAAAACCAGTATTTGGTCAGGCCAGAAGTGATCAGCAGTCAGATAATTGTTGTGGGTCCCTTCCAACAGAAACTATTCTATTTTATACTTAACACGTCAACACTCCCAAAGGAACCTCCAGTCACTGTTCCTCTTCTCCTGCCCACGTGCCCACTACTTAGCTTCCAGTAGGACATGCTGGCCGGTTCATGAACCAGCTTGAGCCACCCACATAGCAGAAAGCTAACCAAACAAATACAGCACTAGTGTAAAGAAGGACTGCACAGCAAAGAGCAGGAGAAAGCAAGGGGAGATGCAGGAACAGGGAGACTCAGGCTTCTCCCTTTCCACACACAGCTCAGACTGCAGTTTCAGAGACAGCAAAGGCACCGATGCTGAAGGACAGAATGGCAAAGTTAGGTTTGAGTTACTACAACAAAAATATTCCTCATCCTTTCCACTTACATCCCCAGTATCACACATGCTTTCAAAAACAGGACCCAGCGCTAACGCCTGTTCTTGAAGCATTTACAAGTCAGATATGCTTTAAATAAAAACAAATGCAATCACTTGGAAAATAAACCATTGTTAGAAGAATTACAAATAAAAGTGCACCTTAAAAAAAGAAAATTAAAAGTAAAGCCAACAGTCATTGCTACAGAAGAGGCAGCAGAAGAGCAAGCAAAGCTGCTTTTGATCTTATATTAGATGCCCTATTAAATACCAGTTAAGTCACTTAGGCTGCTATTTAAAGTTTCCTGTATGGACAAGGATAGGTGAGATCCTCCATCTATGGTAACTTCCCGAGCACCTTTCCTAGACTAAGCACAGGCAGAACCAGAGAGTAGACAGAACAGATTCTGTGATGGAGTCCTGCGGTTGGAAGCCCTCAGCTCAGCCCAGCCGACGTGCTGTAGATGGGTGTCTGAATCTGTGCTCTCTTTCAAAGTGGACAGAACTCACTTCCCTTTCACAGCCCGGACACCTCAGGAATGACCACAGCGTTTCCCTCACGGCTCCCACTGCCGTGCCGCCCTGTCAGCGGAGCTTCCCCGCTCGTCCTCTACTATGAGACAAGGATGGTGGTTCCCTACTGTCTCCGGCGGCGTTCGCAGCCGCTCTGCTCCGCAACGTCCGCAGCATCCCACCTGGATGAAGGCGTTGGCCTGGATGCACTTGGCGTCCTCCACCGTCACCCTCAGCCCATTGACCGTGGCGAAGCAGGTGGCGTGGTCCTGGAAGTGAACGGCCCTGAGGAGGCTGGAGAGGTGCCGGGCATTGTCCAGGCTGGCGGACAACACGTACGGCTCCGCGCTGCCGGCCGGCTGCGCCGTCAGCGGCATACCGACCTCGCCCACCGCATCGGAAGCGGAAAGACTGCTGAAGCGCGGGCGGAAGTGAAGCCGGGCGGAAGTGAAGCCGGGCGGAAGTGAAGCGCGGACGGAAGTGAAGCCGGGCGGAAGTGAAGCGCGGACGGAAGTGAAGCCGGGCGGAAGTCAAGCGCGGCACTGCGTGGTGCGCCCGAAATGGCGGTGGCCAAGAGGAAGCGTGGGGGCCTTGCGGAGCGGCCGGCGAAGCGGGCTAAGGCGGCGCCGAGCGCGACCGAGCCGAGAGACTCGGCGGCACCGGAGGAATACAGCATCCCGCCGCCGGTGTCACAGGTGCCCGGGGGGGCGGTGCTGGGGACCCACTGCTCGGCCGGGTTGGAGGGTCTGATGTATGGCTTCTTTATGGTAGTAGGAGAAGAACGTTGTTCTGGTGGATGGTTTGTCCCTGGCTGTGCCAGGGGGTTGGGACTAGATGATCTTTAGGGTCCCTTCCAACACGAGCCATTCTGCGATGCTATGATTCACTCGAAAGTGAACTTTAAATAAGATGTATTTTGAACAGTTGGATAATCCTGTTATATCCAAAAAGTAGATAGGATTTTTTTTTTTTTTCGCATTTAGGAACCGCCCTAAGGGGGTGTTAGTAATTTCTTTGCAGTTTGTTTAAAATAAACCCAAAAAGTAGCACACTGAAGTCTGAGATTTCGTCACGTGCTCATATGTAGAAGACCTGAATTGCGCTCTGAGGCAGCAGCTCGGCTCCCGTGGCAGGGAAGGGGGCTGACTTTTGTGAACAAGCAGTGCATGTGGAGTACTTAGGTGTTTTGTATGAATCAAAAGCTTCCTATGTGACCATACTGTAGCAGGATAGGTGACACATCTTAATGTAAAAACGTAGGCTCCTGTGTTCTGTTCTGCTGCAAGAGTGATTCTGTCCGGATTGAGCAGATAATGTTAATAGCAAATGTTTTTGCTGTGTTTTTCTGTAATTAAAGTTCAAACCTTTAGTGTTGCTCTGTTGTAGTAGTTTTAAGGCTGTAAACTTCCTGCTTAACTTTTGTATCTTTTTTTTTTTCTTTTCCCTAGGGTAAATGGAAGAACAAGGAACGAGTGCTTATTTTTTCTTCTCGTGGTATTAATTTCAGAACAAGGCACCTAATGCAAGACCTAAGGACATTGATGCCTCATTCTAAAGCAGGTGAGGCATCCTTCCTAACTTACATTTTCAGATTAGTTTTAAACCAAGAACTCTTTGACAACCTGTTCTTTTTAAAACTGTGGTACATAACTGGTTTGACGAACTTATACTTGAAACAACAAACCCCTTTTGCGCCAACAAACACAGCAGCTGTTGTTGTATCTTAATATTTCCTGAAAAATGACTCCTGTGACCTCAATCCTGTAAGTGCATAAGTACTTTTGATGCGATGTTTATTTATGGTATAACATGTCTGAAACAACTTGATAGTTAATCTTTCATTTATAGCAGTAATTTTTTTGCAAAAGGAAGAAAGAACTGCTGAAAGAATTGCTTGTGTTAAATTGCTTTTCCTGCCTTCTAAATGTTGTTCTTGTCTTCCAGATACTAAAATGGACCGTAAAGACCAGTTATTTGTAATTAACGAGGTAATCCAGGATTTAACCAATGCTTTTTTTTTTTTTCCTCTGGAAATCCAATGCGCAAGAAAAAAAGGGCAACCAATTTCATAAATTAAAATTACAGATACTCAAAAAGTGCTCATGTTAAAACAGGAAGTGACTTTTGATTAATGAAACCTCAATTAAACATATACATTTGTCATGAGGAAGTAAAGCAGAATGTGCTTTTTGGTATATGTGAAAGATATATTACAGTTTATACTTGGGGAAAGCAGGGAACAAAAATCCAGCCAGGCCGAACAATGTAGGATGTCCGCAGTTCTGAACCTAGAACCTAATTTCACAGCTCGTGCTCTAATGTGTATATCCTGGAGATCTTACCAGGTTGCTTATAGCTTTAATGAAGTTATTACTCCTGGTAATAAATATGTGAGATTTTTCAACAAGACAAGTGTTTCCATTTAAAAATGGGGATCAGTATTAAGATGAGAGACCTTTGCTTTTAAAGTTACATTTTGGAGGGGGGAAGATATTAGAGATTAATGTGGAATGTTTTTTAAAACATCTTCAGAAGTTTGTAAACAGCTAATTTGGTGTATCTCTTATAGGTGTGTGAAATGAAAAACTGCAATAAATGCATCTTTTTTGAAGCCAAAAAGAAACAGGATCTCTATATGTGGTAAGGAAATGTTATGTTTTCTTACATTTCTATGTATAGCTGGGGATGCTCCCTTGTATCTGAAGTTTTTTACTGCAATAGTGAAGATGTGTGAAGTAGTGTTAGCTGAATCTGTACTAATCTTGCACTTCTGTGGGTCGTGCAAGTTTACAGTGCGTGACCACCTTTTTTAGACTTTATCGAAGCACTTTACAAAGATGTTCACAAAGCAAGTGTTTGTAAGTATGTTAAAGGAACTCAGTAATGCTGCAAAAGCAACTGAAACTACTTCAGTGCAGCAATGACTGGTTGGAGTGCACTGTAGAAATCCAGTGTACCTTCTGGCTGCTCTTAACGTTTTTCTTTTCTGTCTTCCCCACCACATGCCCCCTGCAGGCTTTCAAATACACCACAGGGACCATCAGCTAAATTCTTAGTGCAGAATGGTAAGTTGGCTGACGTTATTGCATTTGGACTTTTACTTTCTTTTTGTACAGTTTTATGTAAGTAGTAAAATGATCTTTTTTTAAAAAAATCACTGTAGTTCACACTTTGGCTGAATTGAAGATGACAGGAAACTGCCTCAGGGGTTCACGGCCCCTTTTGTCTTTTGATCCAGTAAGTATAGGTTTTATTTCACTGAGTGTTTCAGTGAGTATTTCATGTTCGGGTTTTTTTGCATGGCTGTTGCATTTAGCTTTGTATGTAAAATTATTTTTTTTCTTCCTAGATATTTGACAAAGAGCCACACTATGCCCTGCTAAAAGAATTGTTTATTCAGGTTGGTCTGTAGTTCTGCTGTCCAGTGTTTCTTCCTCATTGGAAATGTTTTTTGGCAAAGTATTTTAAAATATCAAGGGGTTTTTTTAAGTAGCAGTTTTACACTTAACAAACTTGCAGAAAATCTGCAAAGTGTTAGGGTCATGTGCTTAAAATCATGGGGACACTTTCATGACTTTAGAGTTTGAAATGTAACCTGGGATCGGGATCTTGGAAAACTGAAATTAATTAAACATGATCCATTTATGTTGGGTGTCTTTAAATACAGATAATAAGAAATACTGCCTTTCATTACAGATCTTTAGTACTCCACAGTATCATCCCAAAAGTCAGCCTTTTGTGGATCATGTTTTCACCTTCACTGTCACAGATGAGAGGATCTGGTTTCGGAATTACCAGGTAAGTGGTCTCTTAGCTCCTCAGGAGGAGCTCAATGGAATAGTTTCATATCAAATCCACTAATTACAATAAAATGAGAAGAATCCTTATTGTCAGGATATGCCAGCAGATAGTGCTTGCAGCAGGTAATCTTAGTGTCCTAAAATGAATTCTTCTGTAGTTCTGGAGAGAACTGGTTTAAGTTCTGTTTACTTCAGCTTCCTTTCTGTTAGCTGTGATTCTGTGATACTACCTGAAGCCTAAGCTTTGCTTGCCTTTTAACCTCACTTGCTGCTTTGACCCAAAGTGTGTTGGAGCTTAGTTTTTAAAGAGAGGCTTCACAAACACCGACTACTCTCTAAAGGCTTGCTTGAAGCTGAAGAACTGCTTTGTATATAGAATTGTGTCTAACTTATCAGCTTCAGTGGCATTGTATCTTGGATTTAAATTCAGTTGTGTATCACCATATGCAAGGTGCTTACAGGGTCATATACTTTTATTAGATCTATAAATGAAGAAAGTATTCTTATTGCAGATAATAGAAGAAGATGCATCTCTAGTAGAAATTGGGCCTCGTTTTGTCCTGAATCTCATAAAAATCTTCCAAGGTAGCTTTGGAGGACCAACTCTGTATGAAAATCCCCATTACCAGTCCCCAAATATGGTAAGCAGCTTTATTTTTGTCTTCCCTTTCATTTGGAAATTAACTTGAAAGCCAATCTGTAGTCTGTGCAGGAGAATCATGTATACCTCTCCCTGGAATCTGTTGTAGAACAGAAGTGCCTTAACTAATCCTAATTTGAGAACAGAGTCGATGAAAAACGGCATTACGTTGAGGATTTTGACAATTAAGCAGAGAAATTACCACCTGTTTCTTTGAAACCTGATTTCTTCCTTTTTACTTATTTGAAACCTGATGAAATTCAAATTCTTATTTTCATAGCATCGACGGCTGGTAAGATTGTCAGTGGCGGCTAAGTTTAGAGAGAAACAGCACGTGAAGGAAGTACAAAAGATTAAGAAACAAGAAAGTAAGGTGCTCATTAAAGAAGATCCCACTGAAGTGGTCTTTGAAACTCCAGCTGAAGAAAAGCCAGTGGAAATACAGCTTGTGAAACCAGAGTCAAAGCCAATTGTTAAAGATAAAAAGAAGCTACGCAAAATTCAGAGAAAGAAGCAGAAAAAGCTTTTCAGAACTGAGTCATCAGTTTAAATGTTACAAATGTTGAAACCAGTTATATTGACATAATTTTGTAAATACCTGTTGTTTACTTGTTTTTACAGGCAAAACTAACAATTTCAGTTTTAAGTAAACAGTATCATTTTATTAGGGTAAGTTTGCACTCGTGTATTGTCTTCATTTCTTTGAGGGGTTTATGGGTTTTGAAAAACAAGCCAGGGAACAGAGAAAGAAAATGAGACACTCCAAATATTTCTGTGTTTGGGAATTGGCCTCTTATACTTGAAGACCTATGGGAAACAGCTCACTGCAACAACACCTACAAAGAATAAAAATAACTGGGTAGTCACTGGTGCTCATCATGAATGAATTCAAGGGCCAGCTTTCCTAGTCTGACAGCAGTAGAAAACTTAGAAATTTGAACTATTGGAATTTTGTCTTGGGGAGTGATGGTA